TCTTTAGGACTCACAGATGTTGGAGGAAATCCCCGTGGAGCAGAAGTCAAGCGTGAGGGCTCCTACATGGGACTCCTGGAGATCAAGCAAATGATTCTGTTCTGTGGAGCACCCAGGACGAAGATGGGAAATATCTGAGCATGTGAACCATCACGGCGGGCACTTGGCCGCCATTTGTATCTAGTCATAGATACATTGGGCATAAATCGGTATTGGAATCCATGCAGCCACTGTTAATTGTGTTTCTACACAATACATATACTCTTTAGCCTTCAAATCCAGAAGAAGGAACAGAACAGAGTTATAAGAGAGATAACCAGTAGGCTTGATGTTATAAAGTATGAAAAGAACTGGATATTCTGGCCTAAAGTCAAAGGCAGAGATTTAAGGGGGAAAATATGAAATATGAGCTTGCCTTAATGAATGATACAACTAAACCAAACTAACCAAAATAGTCTTCGCAAGGATAGGACTGGGGATAATACAACATAAAACCCCTTAACCTAAAGGATATATGAGTCCAGGAAGAGCACATATGTGACAGAAATTACCAGGAAGTGAGAGGGGGAAAAAATCTACACTGTATTAATATAAAATTGACTTCCAGAACAAGGCAGATGACTATACTCCCACCTGGAATGGTACACCCATTTCCTGGTGACCCATTTGAAGAATACTGTTGACAAAATGGGGAATACCTTGAGAATAACCCAGAGAACGATGACCAGGATTTTGAGGGGTCTGTAACCTGTGATTTGCCATGAAGGTCAAAAGAGTCACCCGCTGAGTTAAAGGTGCTGCAAAGGAAACACGTGCTATCGTCTTCAAATATCTGAGTTGCTGCTGTGTACGTGAGATATTAGGTACAAGATACGCATCTCCAGAGGTAATAACTAGGACCGGAAGGAGGAAGATACACAAAGGTGGGACTTGATAACACTTAGGGATGTTGGACAGTGTCTGGCCCCTGTTTAGCAGTCAGGCAGAGCCAGGATACTGCAGGTGGGACTCCGGAATGACAGGGCAGTGGAAGCGACAGCCTTGGATCCTTTCCAACACCGGTGGCTCATGGCTGTGGTAATGCTTCTCCATTACATGTATCCTATTTACCCACGATTTTTGTGAAGGGTCCTACTGAGATTTTCTTAAATCACTGAGAAGCTCTGATGGTCGAACCTCCTAACCCAAGTTACCTATCTTTCCTGGAATGGAATAAAATCAGTCCCAATTAAATATTCTGAAAAAGCAAAATACTTGTACAAGTGTAAGAGTGTTTGAGGGGTGCTTGGGTGGCTCAGCCGGTTGAGTGTCCAACTCTTGATTCCGGCTCAGGTTCATGCACGATTGCATAGTTTGTGGGAGGCAACCCCAAGCAGGTTCCATGCTGGGCACGGGGCCTGCTTGGGGTTCTCTCTCTCCCTCTCTTTTGGCCTCTCCCCCACTCGCACTCTGTCTCCCTCAAAATAAAGAAATAAGACTTAAAAAAAAGTATTTGAGGCTTGTATCTGACTAATAATCAGCCCAGGTTTACGGCTGCTCTCCACAATGCCTACCAAAATAATACCCCGGGGAAGCTTGTACTGTGAGGTTACACTGTGCTGTGTAAATGGAAGATGACAGTGCCATCAGCTTCATAATTATAGCCGTGTCCTCAGAAACGGTGGTTGCACAGACATGAAGTGTTGTCATTACAATGCTTTAGGATCGGAGCGCCTGGGGGGCTCAGTCGGTTAAGTGTCTGACTTCGGCTCACGTCATGATCTCTGTTTGTGAGTTCGAGCCCCACGTTGGGCTCTTTGCTGACGGCTCAGGGCCTGGGGACTGCTTCTGATTCTGTGTCTCCCTCTCTCTCTGCTCCTCCCTGACTTGTGCTCCGTCTCTCTCTGTGTCTCAAAAATAAATAAATGTAAAAAACTTTGTTTAAAAAAAAACAAAGCTTTAGGATAAAATTCTCTTCGGCCAATCACTTTCCAAATGGCTATCTCGACAGCCTTGTTTCTGAGGCTATACACCACGGGGTTCATCAGTGGAGTCACAACTGTGTAGGCCACTGTCACAAGCCTGTCTTTGCTGGATGAGAACTTGGCTGAGGGCCACAGGTAGACAGAGGAGGCACGGCCATGGTGGACGACGACCACAGTGAGGTGGGAGGCACAGGTGGGGAAGGCTTTCCGCTTGCCATCAGTGGATGGGATCTTCAAGATGGTGTGGACAATGAAGCCATACGAGATGCAGAAAAAAGTCAGGGAGATCATGAGTGTTGGAACCCCACCAATGAAGATGATCAGCTCATTGATGTAGGTTTCAGTACATGCAAGTTGGATAACTGACAAGATGTCACAGAAGCAGTGGTTGATCTTACTGGGGCCACAGAAAGGGAGTTCAAAGACTAAGAGGGAGCCTATCAGTGAGAACAAAAGCCAATCACAGCACAAGTGGCTTCCAGCTGTCCCCATATCTGCCAGCTCATGAGGATAGGGTACCGAAGTGGATGACAGATGGCAGCATAGTGGTCATAACCCATGACCCCCAGCCGCATGCAATTAGTGACAGCAAAACCAAAGAAGGAAAGCATCCGAGTGGCACAGTCGACAAATGAGGTTGTTCTGAGCGGGGACAACAGATTTATGAGCATCTTGGGCAGGATGACCAGAGTGTAGCATGTCTCAGAGATGGGAAGTAGCCTCAGGAAGAAGCACATAGGTACGTGGAGGCTGCGAGCCAGGCATACGACAGTGACAATGGTGATGTTCCCACTGAGAACGATCAGATACAGGCACAGAAATACAGCAAAGAGGATGAGCTTTGGATTTCTCCGAGGTTGGAGAAGCCCAGCAGCAACCTCTGTGACAGAGGAGAAATTAGCTTGGTTGACTTGGTCCCCAAGATTGACCTACAGAGAACAGGAATGAAGAAGCAGATCGTTTATTCTGAAAGAGGCGGGCGGCTTGTCCCACTATGATAGAGTAACAACAAATAGAAGGAGGAAGGCGAAGGCAGGCAGGAAATGCCCAAACGATCATGTCAGTTTATAGAACTGTTTCAAAAATTGTAGAATTACACCTGTTTCCAGGGACATTTTGGCATCTCTTACAGTGCTTAAGTCTAGGTAATGTTTTCACACTGCCTAGTTCAAACGGAGGCGTCTGAAGAGTTCCTGTGTGACAATCCCAACTCTGTCATTTTTCGTCTGTGCCTGTCTTCCCATCTGTAACGTAAAGATGTTAACGGCACCTCTCTCCCAGGGCTCTTATGGAAGTGAAAGCACTTTGCGCAGCACACGCACATTGTAAACTGTTAGTAAATGTCAGCCTCTGCTACATATGTTGTTTAATCTTCAGGAAATGGTTGCTAGTCCTTCTTAAGTTTCCTTTGGGATGTGCTTTCAGTGTATCTCCACCTGTTTTGTGTGTTTTTTTACGCTGTTTTATTTTTAAAAAAACTATTGAGCCAACATTCAAACCCAACTCCTTTTTGTGCATATTTTTAGTGATGATAATAATGCGTGGACATTAGTTTATCTTTGGACCGAATCCCGCAACCTGTTCGACCCACTGGAGAGAGGGGTGTCGGAAGGAGGCTTCGTGCACCGAAATAGCTCTAAGACCATTTCAGGTTCTTACGGTCACACAGGGCATTGGTCTTACCCCCTGCTTACCACTTTGCCAGGAAGAGCAAACTGATTTAGAGTTCTCCTATAAGCAATTTTAAGCTTCAAACAGAAATCCATCCAACCCATCAGACCTCTCCTCGATCTGAACCATTATATTTCTCCACGTTTTCCTTGGATTTCCAACAGAGCTCACCTCTGCGTTGGGCACACCTGTCCTCGAGGGGTTCAGCTCCCTGTAATTTCTCCTTGCTAAAGGATGGACAGATCCTTTCCCCTCCATTCAACTGAAAGCAAGTATGAATTTAATAAAGTAATAAAGAAACATCCAGACCAACCAAATAATTGAAAACAATAAAAGCACAGAATAGATTGCAAAACGACATTCTTTAGCTAATGTAGCTCAATTCCAGAGCCCGGCTGACTGCTGATCCCACACCTCTGGGGGATCGTGCCTTCACCCACGTCAGCTCTGAGTGCATTCGTGTTGGGTTCCCTTGCTTTCACAAGAGCACTGGAAGTGCGAGTGTCTGCTTTATTTTTCCATCTATGATTCTGGATCCTCAAAACCCTTTATGCATCACTTGATGGCTAACAAAAGATCACCACCAGGGTCTTCCCTGAGGAACGTAACTCATTTACCTCCTCAGTTCCCATCTCTGAGGCTTAGATGCTTTGTCCACACAACGTTTGGGTGGTGAGGTCTAAAGACAGCAGAAGGTCTGTAAGGAAAGACATCTCAGACACTTGCTTCTTTCACTCTTTGGTCACCCATTAGACTTTTCTGGTATACCACTGTCGCTAGAGAATAGTTTCATGAGACATTTGAGAATGGAAGCTGAATGAACTAAATGTTGAGTGATGCCCTATTTTATTTTCTCTCCCCAAAGCCCTATACTGTCCTCCATTTTTCCAAGCTACCACACATGTGCGTCCCTTACTCTCCTCACATGCTCTTTGTAACCCTCACTAACGAGACAGACAGACTGAAGCTCATGGGATCATTAGGACTTTTCTAAAATTATCGCTGGTGCCTGGCACTTGTCTATTACTGGACCCAAACACTATCTTCACTTGATTCCCCACGTAAAGTAACCCAACGGGGGTTATTTCCCTTTGCTCCCTTAGCACACAGCGAGTAGAATCCAGTGACACCCAGAAATCTCATCAAAGGAGACTAAAAAAATTAATGTGGCTATAATCGTTTCTATCCCGAAATGGCTTTACTCTCTTCCTTTCTACTATGGACATCTCCATGAGCCAAACTGTGTACTCCTACTTCCTCTGCTGAGAATTCTGGGAAGTATCCCCTGAAGCATCATAGAAGAACTTTTCTTTTGTCTCTCATTAGCTGTGGTTCCGACATGCTGGTTTATATTTATACTTCCCCAAGCTCCTGGGAGCCATTATTACAATTTTATTTTTGGCACGGTTCCAATCCTTACAATGAGGAAAGGGATGCAGGCAACCCCGTGGACTCAAATCTCACAGGGCCAGTTGGATAAAAAGAGAACATGAAACAAACCCTGACGTTGGCAATTAGTTGGCAATCAGTCCCAGGTTGCCTCGTAGCTCATTAGGAGCTGAAAACCGTGGCAGGTGAAGGACAGAGACGTGCACGTGAAAACCCATATGGTAGGAGGCGACGCAGGGCTGTCTCTTCCGGGGTCTTTCATGTGAGGGAGAAGCCCCTTCCTTGGACATCCCCAGGACAAATCAAGTCTTGTTCTGACATTGCAAAAGAAGAAACAAAGCTCCCTCTGTCAGTCAAGGTTCCTCTGAACCTCTCAAATTACGTTTCTGCACCAAGGAGAGGGTGTGGGAGCACGGCGTGGTGTCTTAGCTGGCAGAACTGAGACCTCCACGAGCAGCAGTGAGGAGTAGATTTGAGGACCGAGGGAAGGGGTGGGGTGTTTACACGCAGGTCACATATGTGACACCACACTTTTCCTAGCTTCCTGGAGATGACAAGGTCTCCAATCAGTGTCAGCCCCAAGGGTAGGGAATAGGACCAAAACCTGTGGGTAATACCTTCCAGGGTTTGGCAAGCCAATGGTCTTCATTCTTCCCTGTAATTCTCTCTCTTTTTAAAAAAATGTATTTATTTATTTTGAGAGAGAGAGAGAGAGGCAGAGAGAAAGGGAGACAGAGAATCCAAGCAGGGTCCACATCGTCAGCACAGAGCCCAACGTGGGGCTTGAACTCACCAACGGTGAGATCGCGACCTGAGCCGAATGACCAGAAATCAAGAGTCGACGCTTAACGGACTAAGCCCACCCAGGCACCCCATCTTCCCTGCGATTCTCTGATAGCCTGACCCAAGACAGACAAGTTCCTTGGGAATCATCATTCTTCCTCTTCAGTGACATAATATAAAAATTCCACCGTCTGTACCTTCCCTCATGAATCATGACTGAGTCACAGGGATGTCTGAGAGCACTGAGTGCACTTGACAGGGAGTGTTGCTGCAGGTTCGGGAGTGGCCCTGGGCAGAGATGTTCCTATTGGCAGGTCCCAGCCTGCAGAGCAGCAGAAATTCCTAAGTGAGCTCATTCCTGACTCAGACTCCTCGTCTTTCCAGTTAGATCATTTTCAGAGGCCACCAGCTGAGATCTGACAACAGCTACTGCTGCTTCCGGTAGTTGTCAAATGTGCACATGAGCCCCTGGCAAGAGCTGCTGAACCCCGGGGTTCCTGGGACATCTGGTCCGCTCAGTGCATCTTCCTGAATAAACGTTTCTGCACAGGGACGGGGGCCTCGCTGCGGCACAACACCTGTTCAAAGACCTCCAAGGTTTCCAAGCAGGAAGAAATCTGAAAAACACCGCAGTTAGTCACATTTCTGGGGTCAGTTTTGGACACAGTTATGGATTTAGTCCCTCCCTCAGGCACTGGAAGATACTATTTCAGGAAGTTAAAATTAGCCATTATTTTTTATTAGAGCTTAAACTCAGGTTTCCAGCAAAAGTAGAGGAAACATACTCCATCTCAAATATTTCAGTGTGGTCCATGCATGCAATCAAAGCAATAGCCCTGGACAGGCTAATCGCACATTCACAGAAAAGATTATCAACTAAATTCAAATGGAGACACTTCGTCTTGAGGAAAGTTTTGTTGGCAAATGCTGTGTATCACCCCCACTGACTTCATCCCCAAGGCTCTAGATCCTCGCCACTACAATGGTGGCTTTCGTGGCCATGGAGACACTGTTATCAGGCACCAATCCCAAGTTTGAACAATGTGAACATAGGAAGCATAGGTTTCAGTTATATTTTCCAGCAACTGCTGTAGGAAATTACTTCTAATTTTTATATTTACATTCTTTAGGATTCGGTGAGACGAAAGCTCTCAAGAATCTGCATTTCTGTTGCTTCTCTCTCTGCACCTTGCCTTGTATTAAAGTAAAGGGAAAAGATACTAAGTGAAGAAAAAGAGGATAGTATATAACAAAGGTACAATTTAAAATCTTTTCAAAATATGGGATCTCAAAGAAGAAAAAGTAAAATGCGAATTTCTAATACATGAAGTTGTAAACAGTTTTGAACTAAGAAAGACATCTGTGTTTTATATAATAAAAGCAGCTGTTAGAAGAAGCTGTTAAACTTTTTTTTAATTTTTACTTTTTTAATGTTTATTTATTTGAGAGAGAGAGAGAGCGCGTGAACACGCATGAGCGGGGGAAGGGCAGAGAGAGAAGAGACACAGAATACAAAGCAGGCTCCAGGCTCTGAGCCATCAGCACAGAGCCTGATGTCGATGCAGGGCTTGAACTCATGAATAATGAGAGCATGACCTGAGCTGAAGTGGGACGCCTAACTGGCTGAGCCATTCAGGTTCCCCAAAGCTGTTAAACTTTAAAATTACTATGTAATATAAAAACTAACAAGATATGATGGTTACTTTTTTCTACGTAAATTTGACTGGGCCACGCGGTACCCAGATATTTAGTTGTTTATTATTCTGGGTGGGTCTGTGAGTTTTTTTCTGGATGAGAATAACATTTGAGTCAGTAGACTGAGAAAAACAAATTGCACTCCCCTACATGGGTGGGCCTTGTCTAGTCAGGTGACCGTCTGAATTGAACAAAAAGGCTGAGTAGAAGAGGTTTCCTTCTCTGAGCCTGGCTAGCATAGAGCTAGGATGTCAGTCTCCAGCCTTAGCATCTGCACATGGACTGGAATTTCCACCACTGGCTTTCCTGGTTCTCAGATGTTCAGACTTGTACTGAAATGATACCTTTGGATCTCTTGGTTTTCCAATCTGCTGACTGAAGATCTTGGGAATTCTCAGCCTCCATAATCGCTTCAGCCAAATCCTTATAGTAAATACCTACGTATTCATCTATTTGATGCATCTAGATGATCTATCTATACAAGATATACGGATATTCTACTGATTCTGTTCCTCTGGAGAATCCAGACCAATACACAAAACAGGCTATGCACATAAATCATAGAAATAAAAATAGAAAGAAAAAAGAAAAAAAAATCTTTCAAATTACACTATAAAAAGAAGACTGTGTTATGTTAGTACCTCTGGCTTTCGAGAGAAAGAAGGAGAACATGATTTAGCATAAGGAAAGGGAATCTGTTAGCTGAAACAATGGGGAAGTTCATGACAAACCTGATCAGATATGGCTCAATTCGGGAACTTGCATTATGGGTTATTCTGAGTCTTGACTCAGAGGCCAACCTCAGAGAAATGTCTTTATCCCTAATTTACTTCTCTTTAGCGCGTCCCACAATTTATGATTATTGTCTATTAAATAGACAATATAATGTCTGTGATTATATCTCTCTTTTCCAACCCCGTGGGGATCTCTCCCTCTGTTCCACTAAATGTTTAGACTCCATATCTAAGATATTGCCTGATACACAATAGACATTCAATAAATATTTGTTGAGTGAATGCATTTTGATTGAAAAAATCTTTTTCCCATTCTCTTTCCCTTGACCTAGCTTTACTCCTTGTGCTAGATTTCTTTAAAAAAAAATTTAATGTTTATTTATTTTGAGAGAGAGAGAGAGAGAGAGAGAGCTAGGGAGGGGCAGAGAGAGCTGGGGAAGGGCGTAGAGAGAGGGAGAGAAAGAGTCCCAAGCACCACAGAGCCTGATATTGGGCTCAAACTCACGAACCGTGAGATCTTGACCCAAGTCAAATAAAGAGTCAGATGCTTAACTGACTGAGCCACACAGGTGCCCCTTTGTGCTAGATTTCTTACTCCGTGAGCTGGCTTTACCCAAATAACAGGATAAAAATGGGGACAAAAGTCTTGAACCTCCATTTTTAGTGATGTAATTCAAAAGACTGAGAGATTCAGTCTACACAGCTATATATGGAATTTAATCAATGTTCTTCCTCTATAGAAGAGAAGGTGGGACACTGTGTGATAGATTTCACGGACCTTTTTAACCAGCCCTATGCTGAGGAATGGAGGGGGTAGGGTTTGTCTCAACAGGAACTCTTGAAATGGTTCCTAGATAAATTGTTTTGTTGTACTGAAAAAAGTGAAAACTAAAATCCAATTTAAATTGGATTCACTACATAAAAACGAAGAACCATCCATCACACCCATATCTGCACATACATCAGCACATCAGGAGATTAGCTCAGGCAAACTGTGAGTCACAGACCATGATGTCATCAGACCGTGAAGTCATCAGAACTCAGTCTGTTTTCCTAGCTCTCCTTTTTTCTCTATTTCAACTTCACCCTCCCTGGGGTTTTCCTCATTATACTGAAAACGGGAGGCAAAACTGAGGCCATCTTTCTTTTATATTGCTTGTACAGAGAAGCAAAATAGTAAGAATCTGAGTATATTGTAGGAATTAGATTCAGTTTCTGCTCCCAAGTGTTGTACTCAGAGAAAGCAGTTAAATAGTGACAGCAGCAACATTTCCTTGGCTACAGATTTCAGCTGTTGTCCTGTGTCCTTGAATCAATGATGCCAGTGACAGACTCTTGACCTTTTCAAACATTCCGATCATTTATAGTTTTTTAATCAAATTTTCTTCTAACAATACTCACATAATTTCCTATTTCCTGCGTTAATTTCCAACTGAATCACTGATTAAGTAGTAATTAGGGAATAATTTTATTACATAAAAACATTTCATTTCTATTATGAGGTTAAAACTTTCTTAAAAGTAAAGGCAAGCAGCAATTCTGCTTCTGGTCTCACTGAGTAAGTCCCTACAAGACCAACCCTCCTGAAGACAATTACTACAAAATCGGGAAAAAACACAAAGGGCAACTAGCTGAAGGCACTAAATATAGGATAACAGCAGGCAGATCCAGAGTGTAGTCAACACTTGGAAGTAGGTAAGTACACAGCGTAAGTTTTCAGTTTTAATGAAGGCCACAGTCAGCACTGTTTGTGAAAAGATTAAGATTCAAAAAAGAAACCAACAGGTTTCCCAGCACAAAGAACCAGGGGATAGCGTTTGGGGTAACCAGAATGCTGGGAGGTGAAGATAAAATCCTGGAAATGGGAGAACCAGAGAGAGCTTCCTTCCACATATATGTTCTGCCCAAATGTCTAGCTGATCCCTGAAGTCTGTATGTGTGGGAAAGACTCAAAGCAGCCCAGAGTCTGAAAGGATTAAACAGAGATTTGAACCACCACCCCAGAGAACAAGTGTTGAGTTTTAGTCCAACCAAGTTACCTGCCTCCTAAAACTAAAAACATCAGCAATTGTCAAACTATTTTAGCCGAGTCTCTACAACATAATATTCATCAGGTCACACTTCATAAAAAATTTAATATTTATTTGTTTTTGAAAGGGAGAGAGACAGAGCATGAGCGGAGAAGAGGCAGAAAGAGAGACACAGAAACTGAAGCAGGCTCCAGGCTCTGAGCTGTCAGCACAGAGCCTGACGCAGGGCTTGAACGCAAGAACCGTGAGATCATGACCTGAGCTGAAATCAAGAGTCAGACACTTAACCGGCTGAGCCATGCAAGCATCCAATCACAGAGTTATTTCTATAGCTCAGTAATAATGTTCACTGCTTCCTTCCTCTGTTACCTCCATTCTGATGTTAATTTCATCTTTTGAAGTTTTTTTTTTTCTTTTTTTCAGATAATGTATTTTCAGTTCTACCTTTTTTGGGGGGGGGTCTTTTTTTTGTAGTTTCTGTTTTTCCTCTGAGACTTGTCAGATGGTCAACATCACAAGAACATTTTATGTACGTTACTGGACATAGTTATCATAGCTGATTTAAAATCCTGGCCTACGAATTTCAACACTGAGTTACATCTCAGTAGGTCTATATTGATTGTCTTCTTCCTCAAGAATGGCCATATTTTTCTGGTCTTGTATATGGAAAGTAATTTTGGATTTAAAGTGTGACTTGATGGGGGCGCCTGGGTGGCTCAGTTGGTTAAGCGTCCAACTTTGGCTCAGGTCATGATCTCACAGGTCTTGAGTTCAAGCGCCAGGTTAGGCTCCTCACTGACATCACAGAACGTGCTTGGCATTCTCTGTCTCCTTCTCTCTCTCTGCCCCTCCTCCCCTGCTCATACTTTCTCTCAAAATAAATGAAAAAAAAAAAATGACTCAGTGCGAACAAGACAAGAAAACAATGAAAACAGCCACACAGAACCCCAAGCATATGGGGAACCACACAGATCAGTCTGACTCATGTGTAATTGACACTCTAAAAAAGAGTGAGCTAGAGAATAAGGCAGAAAAATTATTTGAAAAAAATAAAGGCCAGAAATTCCACAAATATTTTTCAAGGCACGAATTTACAGATTCAAGAATCCCAACAAATCTCAAGCAAGATAAATAGGAAGAAATCCATACCTTGGTGCATCAGAGCCAAACTGTGGTGGCGGAGAGGGGGGGGAAGCATATCTCGAAAGCCAATCCCTCCTCCCCCCCCCAAAAAAAAAATTAGGGCCAGAAAACAGTGGAACAGAAATGTAAAAATGGTAAGAGAAAAAAAATTAATAAAACTACTAGTTTGGAATTACATTTCCATTGAAAATACTCTTTAGGACTGAAGGTAAAATAAAGACATGTTTACATAATGGGAAACTAAGAGAATTTGTCCCAATAAGCTTGGATTGGGCTAGCTTAAATACAGAAGGAAGGTTTTCAAGCTAAAGGGAAATTGTACAAGACAGAAACTCGAGTAGCGGAGTGTTAGAAAGTACATATGTGAATTTTCCCTCAGTAAATAAACCTGGCACCTAGCTTGAGGGACAAGGCTTGAAATCTAGAATATGCTAAATAATTAGTGACAGATTGGCCTTCTTGGAAGTATGTGTTTCCCGACCTTGGAACTGGGTGTTCATCTTCCAAAGGACTGCAAATAACAAGGGAACAAATGTTCTTCTCCCTCTGTTAGGTTGGGAGGGTAAGAACTGTTCCACTCCAAAAAAGCTCCCAGATTCCTAACTTCAGGGTTATTCCTATGCAGTACAGACCTTAATGTGTGTTCGTCAACATCTGGCTCTCATCACACAACCCAGAAGGATTAGGTCAATAGGAAACTCGTCAGTTAGTGCTGTAAGTAATCATCTATTCATCCTCCAAAACTTCCTAAAGGATAATATGAACAAATATAGATATTAAAGATCTATCATCAAAAAGAAATCAATATTACAATTATAAATATTTGAGTAAACACAAAAGATGATTTTTTTCTTCTTAATGTCTTTAGAATACTTATGAATAAAGCAAAAATTACTACATTTTCCTATGAGTTTTTAATGCACACAGAAGTAATAGACTAGCATAAGGGATGGGGTGGGGATAAATGGATCCAAGTAATTCCAAAGCTTCTCCATTTCAAGTGTAGCCACACCATTAACTCTAGTGGGCTGTGAAAATTATGGATGGAATTGTGTTTCAGCTCTAAAACTTCCTCTAATTGCTCTCATTGTGATACTGGAACACTTCTCCCTTGTCAGCCAACATGACACTAAGTTTTGTCAGTAGAAGATGCTGAGGGGACAGCAGCACTAGATGGGGACCCTGTCCCTGGTTCTGCTGTGCTCTCTTTAGCTTGGAGGCCTACAGTGCAAGGGACACCCAGTGGTATTCCCTCCCACCATTTCAGCTGCCCTGTCCCCATCAGCAATTCTCCCAGAAATTTCCATAGCGAGGCACTTCACGTGAGTGGCTTCTGCAGTGCCACCGACAGTGGCTCCCCAGCAGGTTCAGAGGTGTAGCCCTTCCCATGGATGGCTTCCCTGAGAAACCCGGTGGGCAGGATCCAGAGGGAATTGCACTGATTCCAAAGCTACCTCTAAAAAGACAGTTTGGTATTAATAAATTTAGGCAAGCAGAT